ATTTAATAGAACAAAGTGTTCTTGCATTGAGGGAGAACTTGAGTGGAGGCCCAATGTCCATCTGCTACCTTAATTATAAACCTATAAATATATGCACATAGATCTATTTCCCCATTGTCTTTCAACTTTAACATAAATGAGGATGAGTGCTGGTGTTCGCTCCAACCCACTGTAGTTGTCTCTCAACTAACAGGCAGGTGCAGACTGCCTTTTAGTACAAGGGCTACAACCAGAGAAGTATCGTAGCTGCAAACTCCCCACCCCTGGATCACTGCTAGTCTGGACAAAGAGAACAGGAACTGTCTTGTCTCTTAATTCTGCAAAGCATATGATCAGCAACGGGATGCTTTAGGACAGCAGAAATTTGTTTCCTCCCAGCGATAGAGCCCAGAGTCTGAAATCAAAGCACTGGGGGGGGCGAGGCTCCCTTTGAAAGCTCTAGGAAGGAATCCTGCCAGGCTTCTTTCAGCTTCTGGTCCTCCTTGGGGTTCCTTGGTTGGTAGCTGCGTCACTCCAAGCTCTGCCTCTGCCTGCATGGGACCACCTTAAAATGTGACCACCCCTGTGTCTTCATGGGGTCTTCTGATTGGCCCACCTCCTCCAGTAGGACCTCACCTGAATTTATCGAATTGCATTTGCAAAGACCCTACTTCCAAATAAGGTCACATTTTGAGATTCTAGGTGGATGTGGATTTGGAGGTGAGGGATGCAATAGTGGGGGGCAGGGGGCGGGCGAAGAGGCATTATTCAACGCCCCAGTACAGTCATGGTAATTTTCACTCATCTTACAAATGAGGAAACTGAGTCTTGGAGAGAAGGAAAGTCCATGTTCTGAATAGAACCCTATTAAACTAGGGCTGGGTTTTCTAGTTCCTCCTTTCTAAGCTTGGTTGCTCTGTGTTCTCCCTGTAGTTTGTGCTAATTGGAGTTGATCCAGAGTAAGCTCCCTTGGAAGACTCTGGAGAAGAATCTTCCCTCGCTCCTCCCACCTTCTTCCAGCAGTTGTGTCTGTGGGTGTTCACATATATCTATACGAGTATGTATGTAGATACACATAGACATATGCATGTATATCCATATTTGAAAGCTTACTATTGGATGGATTCTGACTTAAAGTGACCCGAGAGGTCAGAGAAGAACAGCCCCACAGGGTTTCCAAGGCAATACATCTTTACAGACGCGGACTGCCACATTTTTCTCCTGCAGAAAGATCGATGGGCTTGAACCACCAACCTTGGGATCTTTGGACTAGCAATAGATTGTATTAACCACTGCACCACCTCCAGTCCCCCTTGAGTATCCAAATCCAATTACAGAAATACCAGATTCAGTACTCACATTTCTTGGATAGA